GCCTATCTCCTAGACGTGTGCGTGCTGAATAAAGACTATTCCTTCTTCAACCAAGGCTCCAAGAACTGTTTTGTCCAGTTACCTAGCTCATAGACCTGCATGTGAAGGGTTTGTGAATGGGCTCGAGGGGTCTGTGAGCTCCAGACCCAGCCCTAGCTCTACAACATGCAATTATAAAACTCTTAGGAAAAAAACAGGAGACAATCTTCAGGATCCAAGGCTAGTCACAGAGTTCTCAGCCCTGACACCAAAAGAATAATTCATAAGATGAAAAGCCAATAAACCGAACTTCATCAAAAAGAAAAACTTTCCAGAATATGGAATATTATTCAGTGATAAAAAGAAACAAGGCCCCAAGTTATGAAAAGACATGGAACAAACTTAATTGCACATTACTAAGTGAAAGAAGCCTATCTGAAAATGCTACAGACTGTATGACAATCCAACTCTATGACATTCTGGGAAAGGCAAAACTATGGAGACAGTGAAAAAGATCAGCAGTGGCCAGGGGTTAGGGGAGGGCGGGATGAGCAGGCAGAGAACAGAGGGGTTTTAGGGCAGTGACGTTACTCTGTAAGATACTGCAGTGGTGGATACACTTATAAAACCCACAGAATGCACAGCACCAAGAGTGAAGCTTGATGTGAACTGCAGACTCTGGGTCATGATGACGTGTCAACGTAGGTTCATCAGCTGTGACAAGGACCACTCTGGTGGGGAACATTGATAGGAAGGCTGGGGGTGGAGGGGGCAGGAGGTATGTGGGAAATCTCTATACCTTCTGCTCAGTTTTGCTGCAACCATAAAACTGCACTAAAAAAATAGTCTATTTTTAAAAAATAAAAAACTTTTGCTCTGCAAAACACCCTACTAAAAAGAGGAAAAGACAAGTGGCAGATGGGAGAAAATATTTGCAAATGACATCCACATTCCAGGAGCAGGGACTTGAAAAGTGAAGAGAATGTCTCCTCCTCGTTTAGGGATGCTTCCTGGAAGTGGGACACACCCACTGCACTCAGCCCCTTTGTAACAACTCCACCCAACACCACACCCAGCTGCAAAGGAGGCTGGGGAATGAGTCTTTGTCCTAGTTTGTGCTACCACAGAGGACAGAAAGAACTCTGCGCACTCCCATGACAGTCACAACCACCATCCAGGAATAAGCACACTCATTTCTAGGTGAGAAAATGATATTCGAAGGTGGATCGATTGACCTGTGGTCACGCTGCTGGTCAATGGTAGTGAGATAGGAGATGCTCAGTTTCCCAGTCTCAGGCCCCTCCTCTTGTCCCTGAGAGTTACTGTTGTGCGTTGTGCCTGTTTTCAGCATAACATGGAAGTTAGAGACTGCAGGAGGCAAGACTGATCAATTTCAGTGGTTGAGCCTGCACAATAAAAAAAAGTTGGGCCTTGAATGATCTTCCAGGGGAGGTGCCAGAGAGCACCAAGTATATTTTAAGTACACTCGCAGTATACGCTGGAATTTGACCACTGCACCAGCAGAAACAATCACAGCATGTGCAAAGCTAAGAGTTACATAACTGGGGACCACCCCTCTAGTTAAATATTCACAGATAGCATGAATAAGTATAGATAGCCAACTATAAAGACAGGATCCAGGACGACAGCAGGACTGCGCTCACTGTCAAGCCAGCCCACACTTGGCCTGTGAAGTGTGTGTTCCTTACTTTTGCATTAAACTTGCTTTTGCTTTCTACTCTGACTCTGCTCTTCAATTCTTTCCTGCAGCAGAGTCAAGAACCTGGTAGTGGACAGGGTTGAAATCAGGTGTCTGGCCTCCCCAGACCCTCTCTTCCAGTAACAGCAGGACCATTGTAGGAGTCCAGCCTGTCAGGTTTTAGACTTTCAGTTCTAAACTTTAAAACTAACTAAATAGATTTAAGTAACTAAAAGAGTCTCTTTCTTTCCTCTATACCATAACCTCTTCCCTCAAGGAGTTCAGTTTGGAAAACAAGAAAGACAAAAATAAGACAGAGATTTGACGTGCTGGGGCGAGGTTCTTGAACGTACCAGCCACTGACAGGGCTCTGCTCACCTCTTACCACAAGTCCTGGAATTAGACTCAGGTCCTCCATGATTCTTTGTCCCCTAACAGCAAACACGTTTTATATCTACAGTCACAATGGATGTGACGTTTGTGGCTCTGAATAACTGTCCTGCAACCGCTAGGTCCTCCCCACTATGTGCACTGGGCCCTTTTGCTCCTTCAAGGAGGTGCTGCCATATGCAAATGCCAAGCAGTGCAGACCCCACACACCAAGCAGATGACACTCAGATGCCCATCTCCAGGGAGCACCTACACTCCTGCATGACCACGAGGCAGAGGCAGCAGTCAATTCTCCACCATGGCCTCCCTTCTTTTGGCTCTGCCACACCGTGATAGGAGCTATTTGTTTCTGCAGCAGGTGAAAACTGCTAGAACGTGCAGATGAATGAGCACACGTGGCAATGGGGAGGACAACCCCCGCCTTCACCGGGCACCACCCGCCTTCACCAGGCTGTGGCCCTATGGAACCTCCTACTCCAGGCCTCTCCTGAGTTCTGCTAATGATTATAAATGGCAAAGAGTCTCCAATTTAATTGCAAAAGGTAATGATGCAGTGAGCATAAGATCAGATTCGCCACAGAAGGCAATATCCTCAAACAATAAAAAAAAAATATATATTGAGAAGCCGGGTGTGAAGATGGCTGAAATCAATAGGAAGGTTTCTGTATTAAAGACCACGGTGGAGGGTCACAAAGTGATATTGACAGAACTGCTGACAGCAGATAAAAAAGGGGAGAGAAAACTAAATTGATCTCTGCAGAAAATAAGTTACAGATTAATCATCCTACCATGAAATCCTTTTGAGGTGACTTAGGGTCTGAAGACGTGTTCACAGTCTGATTACAGAACCGCCCTGCAGTGCTGGGGTAAATGAGACGCTGCTGAGCGCTATCACATGTGACTTGCATTCCCTTCCCTGCGTGCCTTCTCCCTCCCGAGGAGAGCACGGGGAGTGCTCAGCGGCTCCACTCCGCTCTCACCCTCTACCCCAAGTCTCTACCCCAAATCTGCCATGAGCCTGGTATTCTAACAAAAAATCATCTTCCTCTTTGTTTCTATAAGTTTACAGTTACATAGGAAAACCCTGTTGAATGCAAGTCAAAGGAAGCAGTCCTTCAACTATGATCCAGACTTCCTGCCCAGTCTCCCAGAGGTAGGAGCTTAGGAACCTGTCTTTGCCCCTGGACCTGCAGGTGCAGTCCCCAGGGGCTGATCCCAGGCATGAAATCTCTTTCAATTTCCTATTTTTTCTTAAAAGTGTGTGTGAAATTTGCTTTCTACTCCATGATATGGAGATATGTTTTATTTTAAACTTTTTTAGTAAAAATAATGATCCTTCCTTAACTGTTATTGATGGTCTAAGAAAACAGGCCAACCCTTAATTTCATATTGAAGGCTGAGAGACTCCCTTTTGACCAGAATTTTAAAACTTTAACAAGGCGCTTAATATTTTAAAAACTCTGACTTCTATGCCACATATTAATAATGACAAATCATTATTCATGCCATCCCCTTCGACCCAGAGGGGTGAAAAAAGGATTTATTAATATTGTAAGGCACATGGGGAAAAAAGCTAAATAAGCATCATAGAAACAAATAAAATATATGACAAGGCCATCATTACAGAAATCTATCCAGTAGATACTGTCCTCAACTCCCTTTTGACTACGTGTAGGCACTTTGGCCCCCTAGGTATAAATGACATTATAAGCTCCATCATTTCAAATTTCTTGATTTTTCTCTTTTCCAAAGTAGTTACAATGACAAAACAGATGCAGTGAAATTACAAATGCACGTAAAAGCCACATTTTAAAAGAGAAAATCTTAAGGAATCAAATATGAAAAAATACATACCAATATTTACTAAAAAGTATTTGAAATGAAAAATATTTGAAAGCAAAACTGGTTCCAAAGAAAGTGCTAAAAATTATTTTTAAAACTCACACAAATACATTAAAAGAGCTAGTCAACTCTACGAAATGAATAATTCATAACTACTCCTACTTAAAAGTGTGATTTTAACCAAATATACTTTAAAAATCCATTCATTCAAAGGACAATGTACTTGAAATAGAATATACTTTACAATATCTCACTTCCTCCTTTGGACAAATTATGGCAAAAGGTAGGAGCCTGGTCAGTGGTCGGGTTCTGTGAAATATCTCACGTGGCCCTAGGTGATGCATGGATGGCTTTCACCTGCAAACCCCAACCACTCAGTTCTTGATGATTCAGTCCATTCATTAATTATAATTAATGTCAAAATACTAAACATAGTAGCCCCCCACCCTTACCTGCAGGGGATGTGTTCCAAGACCCCAGTAAATGCCTGATACCACCAACAGTTCCAAACCCTTCATACATACCAAACCCTACATATGCCATGAAGGAAATTCGTTTTCCTTCTTCATAGTTTCACAAATAGAAGATTCATTTCTACTACGGGTCTCAGCAACCTCAGCACACCATGTCTTTCCTTATTTAGTTGAGAACTTTAACCTTTTCACAGAAAGGAAGTACTTGAAGGCTTCTCTTTGGCAGCGCCAATTTGCCAGCACCACAGCTCTTGCGCTTTAGGGCCATTAGGAAGTAAAATAAGGGTGACTCAGACAGCAGCACTATAACACCGCGATGGTCCCTCTGATACCAAGACAGCTACCGAGTGCCTAACAGGCAGGGGGTGGAGACAGCATGGATGTGTCAGACAAAGAGGTGATTCACGTCCCAGGTGAGCAATTTAAAACTTACAGTAAATTGCTTATTTCTCAAATTTTCCATTTAATAGTTTTGGATGGTGGTTGGCCGTCAGTAACCGAAACCATGGGTGAAGGGAGCTACTGAATATGTGAATCAAGACGTGTATTCTGAATTCAGCCTAAAAGTCCAAACTAAAAACAGGAGAAGCAGACACTCTGTCCTCCCTTCCACTTACCACAGCCCGGCTTGAGCTCTCCTGTAAATCCCACAGCAGGATGTGGTTATCAGCCAGTGAAATTATTTTCTTCCCATCTCCCATCGGCTCCCATGTGACACTAGGAGAAAGAGAAGTATCAAATACTAATGCAGACATTTGAGACACCCAAACTTATAGCTAAGAGCTTTCACACCCATCCTTCATAATTCCACTTTTTGTGGCCTGTGGTCACTAGCGTTATTTATTAACATTACTACCTGATAATGCTTACAGCAGATATTGTGGTTATCTCATTGCTGTGGACTAAACTGTGTCCCCTCCAAATTCCTATGTTGAAGCCCTAACCCCCAATGTGATGGTATTTGGAGACGGGGTCTTTGGGAGGTGATAGTGTCAGATGGGGTCATGAGGGTGGGCCTTGCGATGGGATTAGTGTCCTCAGAGGAAGAGACACCAAACAGCTTGCTTCTTTTGTCTCTCTCTGTCACGTGCGGACATGGCAAGAAGGTGGCCGTCTGTAGATCAGGAAGAGAGCCCTCACCAAGAACGGAATCAGCTGATGCCTTATCTTGGACTTCCAGGCTCTGGAACTGTGAGAAATAGATTTCTGTTGTTCAGCCACCCAGTCTGTGGTGTCTTGTGACAGCAGCCCGAACAGACTTGTTCTCACCAACACATGTTTCACCAGGGACTAATGGGTGGAAAGCTGACCAACTCTGGTCAACGAGACGTAATGGGGACCTGTGGGGGGCTGGTGGGCAAGAGTCTTAAGGAGGCACAGAGGAGAAGCCGATAGGGAACAGGATGCCCCGATCCTTTGTGGCCATCTCCTAAGCACCTCAAGGACAAAGGCAAAGTACTGGAGGAAAAGAGAAGCCAGAGCTAACAGCAGAGGGAGGCAGGGGAGCTGCAGGTGGACACACCAGGCCCAGGGCCGGCCCACCTGTGACACGAGGTCTGAGCCATTGTTTCCCACTGTGTGCAGCCAAAACCACCCCAACTAACACAATGCATATTTGAGTAATTAACAAAAGACCAGAACTCATATCTTTTCTGTGGTAAAGCCATAAAGAGATCGAGAATTTTTCAACTTGATCACAAATATAAACTTTTGTCTTCCCTGACGAAATTCTTAAATTGCCTGTGAAGAAGAGAATTTCGTTCCACGCACTCTCACACGTGCATAACTGAAGATGCCAACGAGGGCTGTGCTATTTCCTTCTCAGACAGAACACAGTGCGACTGACTGGGGCACCCGCGGGCAAGCCTCCTCCTACCAGCCCTGCGATGCTGTCAGCGGAGCTGCTGTCACTTTCAATCACCACACTAATGCAGTTCAAAACCACAATTAATTTCCCATTTATAGTTAAAGGGGCCTACACGAAGTTCACGGTATTGTGATCACAGGTATATCATTCCTGTATTAGAGTTGGCTGTATCTTTTCTAATAGTAACAATAAAAAACACATAATATCCAGAGTAAACAAAATTAAAACACCATAGCAAGAAGTGATGCCAAGAAACCTGGTTCCCAAATCCACTGCTCCTATTTAGTTGAGATAATGGCTAATTCTAATTTTGAAGACACTTCTTTAGAGCAAGATAATCAAACTTCTCTCGGTACCTGTTTCCGCAGGTACGCTGAGCAGAGTTCATACAACTTGATGATGGACTCCACGGGGAAGCGCAGCATAGGGAGAGAGGGTGAAGAGGGCAAGTCCCAGCTCCTGTCCCGGTAGAGAGCAGCGCGTTTCCCCATGCCTGACGCTTTCTCCATGTCACGGGCAATACGTTTAGACTGACCTATATAAGCTCCTCACCAGATCGCATTATAACTAATGCATGCCCCCATCAAAAAAAGAAAAAGCTGGGCAGGGAGTATTGGCATAGGATATGGCAACGAATGCAGTGACAGTGACAGCCCCAAGTGGTGTCAGCAAGGCTAAATCTGAACACTGTCACCAAGACACTTGGAATTTTTAACAGAAACTCCAGAAAGCCAGAGATTCCCAGAAAACTCGCAAATCACAAGATAAGAATTAGCCGATCTGATGTCAAAAACTGACTACCTAATTATGAAGCAACGTTAACAGCTTATAAATCATCCACACCTTTCCCATAGACCAGTTTTAATGACACCCAAAACAGTAATCCTGGCTGCCCTCTTTGGTGGCATGAATATGTGACAATGGTTCCCCCCACCAGATTACAGGTTTCTGAAGCATAGACCCTAGTTTATTAAAACTCTGATATTCCCCACGACGACCTGCCACATTTGGGTCCACGGCACTTAACGCTTGCTGACGAATTCTAGGAGTGAAGAATTCCAGGTAAGAGTGAAGATGCCTCATTAAAAAAAAAAGAGAGAGAGACTATTTGAAAATGAATTTCGTTAGCCATTAGTACATCAGGATTTGGAAAATACCCAACAACCCTAGAATGAGACAGTTTTAAAGGCCTCTGGACGATGCATGTCTTAAGCACTGGCGTCCGGGCCCTCACGCAGAGGTCTTCTTCGCCCTTCCCTTTGCACACAGTGCTAATGTATTTGTCCCCCAATTTCCACGTCTACAAGAGAACAGCACTGCAGACTATGGGAGGAGACGGGTGGCTTTCACAGGAGTACGGGCAACTCGGCAAGCTATAAACGCTGATAACTGGAGAGCAGCGGACTGGAGGCAGGGAAGCAAAAATACAGGAATTAAAAAGAGCCAGTCATCTGGGCAACTGTGTTGAATCTGAGACAGTAGCATGTGCTCTGCCAAGCCCTAAGGGCAACACTGTATTACACTTGTGCCACTAAGAATGACTGTGACTTATCTTCAGTGAGCCCCAGCTAAAGAGCAGAAAATATCAAAATATATTGTTTCCATATAAATACTCTTTTTTAAAGTTGATGTTTAACTTCAACCTCAGTGATTAAAAAAATTCAAATTGTTCAGAAAGTTATAGAACTTGTCGACTTACAATTAAAAACTAAAAAGATTTTTAAAAGACTAAGCTTTAAGGTTTTAGATAGTCAAATTTTAAATACAAAGTTTCAGAAACATTGGCTTGACCTCATGTAAAAACAATGTACAAATAGGTCTACATTACATTCTCATGCAGATGAAAGGAGGATCCTAAGTAACCCTCTGTAAAGGATACAACTTTCTAGTGAGAGACAGATGCTAACATTACAGGTTAAAGGAATTTATTGGCAGATTTTCAGTAAAATGGCTACAGACAGCAAAAAAGAGCACAGTACCTGTCGGATATACATCTTCCCGGGCCCCACCTGAAATGCTCACGGTGAGGTCCCACATGACACACCCACAGAGCCTGCTCTCCCCCTTATCTTGGAAATCCCCTACTGCAACTCCAGGCATGGGGGCAGGTTTTACTTCCCAACCCCTCCCAGGCAAGGCTGAAGACTGGTGGGCCAGAGCACACCCAATACCACCCAGTACGCACCACAGCATTAGTGTTCAGTCAGGTGCACACACACCACAGCCTGGTACATTCCAGAGTGAGTCAGGTGTACACACACACAACCTGGTACACACTCCAGAGCATCTGTGGTGGGTCAGTTGTCCACACACAAGACAGCCCCAAATAGCTCTGGGACATTCCAAAGCACCTGTTTCATGTCCTAGGGAGTTGACAGTGCCAGGTGCCCCTGAAAACTTGTTTCACAAACATCCCCACCTTTTTTTTGTTTGTTTAGCAAGACACGTACACATGAGTTTGAATGAGTATCAACCCACAGCTGTGGAGATTCAGAAGTACATCACCCACCACTACGTCCAATCCAACAGCACAGGATGTCAGGCAGAGCAGAGTGCTGTACAGGACAGCCTTCCCGAAACCTAACAACAGGCATCAGCAGCATCTTTCTCCAGCTAAAAGAAAATGGCTCACCTCAGTCTAGTTTTGTTCTAGGAGTGGATAGAGAAAAGAAGTGGGGGCGGGGACGCATTTACTCCAGGAAATGGGGGTGCACATCCCACTTGCCGCACGTCCAGCAGGCTTCCTGTCCACCTGTGTATGGGCTAAGGGATGTGCTTCTGAGAAAATGCTTATATGTCAGTGACATTATCAGAGAAAACAAAATGAATGTCAAGAGGCTGTCGAAGTAAGTTTTTAAACCTAAAAAGAATAAAAAAATTCAAAAAGAAGCAAAAAAACAAAAACCCCACAAAACACTTAAGAGTACAAGAGGAACTACTGATTTGCTTTAGAAAATAACTTGGCTTCAAGTTCTTACAGGTGAAGGCTTTAAGAAATGCTTCATTTCATGGAAGTCATGACAGCTGCAAGGACAAGTGGAAGGAAGCGTGGTGGTCAAGGGGCAGTCGCTTGAGGCCTGCTGCTGAGTCCACACTTGAGGCCCTGAAGGGCAATCACCTGCCTGCATACCCGTGGCCTGGGGTGGATGGTACCTGATGATACCATGGACTGGCCTTTGGAAAGGGCAGATAAGACTTCACTTGCCAGAGGTCTGTGAAACCTGCACAAACAAGCTTGGGGAGCTTCTAGAACACTTGTTGGGGGTCATATGCTTATAGAGTCGTCTCAGGCATTTCATGACTCTGTGACTCTATGTTTCTGCTAGAGATAAATGTCAAGGCAAAGAAGGGAAGGGTCAAGAGAGAAAAGTCAGAATAACCTGAGCATAAGTACATCAGGATCCTGCAAACGTCAGCAGCCTGAGATCAGTGAGGCATACTATTCCTCTTGGCAGGGCTGGGACCAAAGCCTGGGAGGGAGGGTCACTGATGCTAAAGTAAAGAACTGCAGATTACAATAGAGGGGTGGGCTTCTGGAAGACAGCCCTGTTTCTCACTCGATACACCTGGCACATCATCGGGGCTTAGCTGAAAAACCACTTCATGCAGGGAGCTGTCCTGATCCACAAGACTGGCCCTCATCCCTCTCAGGTGGCAGCGGCACTGCCCCCACACATGTGGCACACTGGGCATTGCTGAGTGCCTGGCTTCCTGCTCAAATAAACTCTCCACAAGCACTAACCTCATCTCACTCAGGTACACGCAAGCCCCCAGCACAGACTCTGGCAGGCACACAATAGGCACTTAATAAATGTGCTGAGAAAGAGCGAGTGACAAACTAATCATGCTC